CTTAAACAGACTAAGTCTACAAATTATATATTATCTGTGCAGAAAAGAATAAACTCAGTGGACTTGAGAATGTTATCCTCAGGTTCTCTTACAAGGACGGCCCTAGGTTTCCATCTGGGTATGTAAATTTCTTCAGAATCCCATTATTCTGTACATGAAAGAAAGAATCCCCATGCTTAAAGTGTTCATATAGTCAGTGTGATATAAAGGTGAACATCCGCTTCCTTCAGGACTCTGGAAGGTGGCATGTGGCAGGTAGAAAATACCTACATGAGTAACCTGAATATAGACCCTGGACTCCAAGCTCCAGTGAGCTTCACTGGTGGGCAGCATGTCACATTTGTTTTCACAATTCACTGGTGGAGAAATTCAGCGTATAGCCTGTGTGACTCCACTGGGAGAAGACTCTCAGGCATGGTTTCCTCTGGATTTTGCCCCATGTGTGTTTTGCTTTAGAGGATTATGATAAATAACAGATGTGAGAACAACTGTATGCTGAGTCCTATGTGTATTCCTTGTAGGTGAGTCATTGAACCTTGGGGTGGTTCTGGGACCTCAAGGCATGTGCCCTCTTCTCTAGTTAGCTTCTTTATTTTCCATTTTCTTATTGCTGTCTCTTGGGAGTAGATCCTTAGTTAATAGCACACATCCTAATCTTTGATCAACCTGTGCTTCTGGGAGAATCTATGAGGGTTCTGAGTCAGCCAAAATTTAGTCTTAACCAAGGGCACTAGAATGTCTCACCATGCATAGCTCCGTATTATTTACTCCTTGTTTCACTTAACTCTGTCTACTTTCACACTGTTGTTTTTAATGAAGGCTTACTTGCAGTGTTTATAGGTCACAAATTGCATGCAAATTGTACTTTATAAATTAAAATAGAGCACTTTATTGCTCTGCCTCTACCCCTATCTTGTTATCTCGAGGTTTAACTTTTCAGTATTCTTAGAGGCTTATTCCTCTGTTTACCTCAAGGTACTGAAATGATGTGCCACTACATCCCTCTTCATATCAGTCACACCAGATCAAAAAAATGTGACATGAACCATTTGGGAAAGAAATGGTATCGTTTCCCTTTTCTCCACTCAGATGTAAATACACACACATGTCTGGAAGGGAGAAACTAATGGGAAGAGTTTCAGAAAGAGTAAGCAGTCATAGGTAAGTCCTCTCCCTGGCTAGTAAGGTCAGCTTCCCAAAGTATTCTGCCAGTTCTTTCTGGTGTTTTTAATGATGGGGAGAAACAGTTCTACAAGCAAAACTCCTGCTTGAAATCTTGCCATATGCTAATTTCAACACACTCTTAATTCTAAATCTTCCTCTGCATTATGAGAATCCAGCCCATTTTCTGGGTTGCTGACAGTCTACACAGTAGAATCATTCCCATTCAAGAATGGCGTAAGCAAACCCAGAGATTCGTGGTTGGTTAACCCACCACTCCCACTATTGAACCGTTAACAGCTGTAAAATGATAATTGTACTGATTTACACTTCAGGAAAGTATTCTTGTTTGGTTTTATAAAAATCTGAACTAAAGTTGAGAGACAGAGAGTTTTGTATGCCAACGATTGCATGATTATTAATGTTAAATAAAATAAGAAAGGTAGTACAGAAGGTCAGACATTGTAAACTGCTGAGGTTCATCACTTTACAAAGTAATACAGAAAACAAAATAAGAAAATTGAGTTTCTGAAATTCACTTGGAGTCGTGGCAATACTCTTAACATTTGAAACAGAACCCATAGTAAGAAAATACGGATAGTATGATTTATTGCGTTTTCCAAGAAAAGGGTAAAAAAATATGGAAATAATATTTGGTCTTAAGTAATACATAGGATGATACATTTTTCTCCCATCTCCAGCTCAATAGTTTTTGTTCTCCCTTTAACAAACCAATTTGGGAAACAAAAGACTCTTAGCTCACCAAATTTAGATCTTGAATAGAATACATAAATGTCACAAACATTAAATGGTAGGTTTGGGGAGTTCTCAAAGTTGTGATACTCTTTAGAAACCCCCACGTCTACCTTTGTAATACAGATCTGGAATTGCTTTCCTGATGGCCAAATTTCTGTTACACCGAAATGTGCATCTCTTTTTAAGATTCTAATTGTCTTTTGGGCTTTCCTTTGTCCATATTATTTTCCACTCCCCTGTCAGCCAGAATATCTACATAAAACTCCTCCTAGCTGCTCTTACAACCTTCCATAACCATATCCCTTAGAAAACAAGTGGAAAATGAATAGCTGCAGCAAAACCCAATGATCCCTTACAGCCTAGACAAAAAATATTTCAGAAAAAATAAAGTTGACATTAAATACTTTCAGGTCATTAACCAAGTTGTGAAATTTGTGAGGAATGTGGGAGAAAAAAAGTACATTATTATTTGCTAAGTTTACAGGCTCTAATTCTTCATGTCCCTAGTCTGATGTTAACTTAATTATAAAATAAAATCTATAGCAGCATCACTGGCCTGGGGGTAGAGTGTGAGCTACTAATCAACTTTAATTCCCTGGGCACAATTTAATTACAAAACAACATTTGGTGCAGCTGCTAAACACTTACCAGGTGACCACATGATAATATTGCAGTAATATTTACAGGTCTCTAGTTTTTGCTTTTATTCATTCTATTGGCAGAGTTATAGCTCAGTCATATAAAAATTTGAGCCCATTCTAGAATTTATACTAAAAGACAATTTAGAACAATTTATACATCTACGTAGTTGAGCTAGTTAAGTATAAATTTCATTTCAACTAATTTATGGTAGGAGATATATTTTATGCTGGATGTCTTAGTAAAAACAATAATAAACAGAACATCACTTGTGTATTTCTTATCTTTTAAAAATCTTTCTGTGTGTGAGACAAAGTAAAACCAGCTTCTATATGTTTTGTGCTATTAATCTGATTTTCAGGTTAGAACCAATATTATTTTCCAATATAATTGGACATATCTACTCACATTTATTCTTATTTTTAGTCTTTCATGAGATAATTAAAGATATATTTGTTACAAAATAATTTTCGCTTGAAAAAATTAATATTAACCACTGATATTTTAGAAATAACTGGGTTCACTAATATACATAAAATATATTCAATATGCACAGATACCAGGGAAGATCATTGCACTTAGTGAGCTAGATGTGATTTTTTTGGTTAACAACACTGAGATAGATGTTTTATGTACAATTAACATTTTGTTTTGGCTTTTTTTTCACTCAGATATCTCTTTACAATTCCTGGGACTCAGATTTTCCCTAGATCTTTAGAAGGACAAGCAAAATTATTTGAACTGAGGAAGACAATAAGATTCAGTGTCAATAAGGGAGCGCAATATGACGTTACTCTTTATTTAGCAATTCAGAACATAATATAGTATACCACCCAATCCAAATTAGGACTTGGTGTTTGAATAAAACAGAGACCAAAATTGCTTGTTTTTCCTCACTGAGCTACATTTTCAGCACATTTTGTTTAATTTTATTTATTTTGAGAAGGGGGTCTTGCTAAGTTGCTAAATTGCTAAGTTGCTCAGGTTAGGCTGGAACTTGTGATGCTCCTGCCTCAGCCTATCAGAGTGTTGGGATTATAGGTGTGTGTCATCAGATCTAACAGAAATTGCTTCTTTTGCTTTCTCTTCCTCTATGCCAATTTTTGAATATTACTTTTGTCTTTCTTTTTCTGTTTAGAATAAAATAGTGAAAAGCTAAAAAGAAGATGCATCCTAGCTAACTATACCTTCATACAACAAAGAAACTTACACTAAATTCATCCTAGGAGATCTGGAGCAATAATCTATCTTCTTCTTTGAATTCCATCTGCACACTGGTTCAGATATTACCTAGCACCATTCTACATGGCTCATGTAAACCCAAGATTATATTGTACGTTTTAAACTCAGAAGGCTAATTTCTCACAGACTAGGGTCTGTCAGCCTCCTACCCCAGAGAACATCTTTCTTTACTACTGAGCGAACAGTGATTGAGTCACAGGAGGAAATTATTCTGATTGCTAGAAGAAAGTAGACTGAGAAGAATTATGATGGTTACCAGATGTTCCATACCCCCGGGGGGGCATCAGGATAGGTTTGCACATGCTATACACAGCACAGACTGTCAAACCATTAGGCCCTGGGGTTCAGCGCTCATACTTTTCTGATGTGTAGAGTCATAGAATCTGAGGGTTAGAGAGTCCTTAGAATGAACTTGCCCAGAGATTTTAAACTGCATGTGTGGGGGTGGGGTGGGGGTGCAGATGAGATTCCTATGGCTCCTAAATGTGATTCAGATATTGCTAAGAGTAAGGGGTTCTCTCCCAAATAGTAGCGGCACTCTTGGCAAGAATATAGAAGTCTTATGTCAGAGATAAACAATAACAGAGTATTTTGTCATATGAAATAAATTATGAAATACTAAATCATTATTGTGATTGGGGAAAAGAACCTTGTGATAAACCACTATACACTGGCTCTGTGACATTCCTAAAGGGTAGGCTGCTAGAAAGAAGGTAGGGTTGATTCAGAAAGTGGGCTATAATGGGACCCATGGCTTGGACAGTCTGAAATTGAATATCATTGTCACAATATTGGCGAGGAAAAAAGGATTTAACATCAAGTAAACCGACACTTACAACTTTTCTGTATTTACATTTCATTTCCAGAGGTAACGAAAAGAGTATCAGTTAAAAACTGGCACCTTGTTGTTTTTAATTTAATACATGCTTCCCTGATAATGGTTCCATTCTTACTCTGTATTGTCTGTTCTACGTTCAAATTTAAAACCACCCTATGATGTTCATAGAATTTCTCCAATGTCACCATTTGACAGATGGAGGGAAGGAGAGAAGGAAGGTCAGAGGGAAAGGGAGACAGACAGACAGACAGACAGATAGATGTTTGTAAATAGAACCAATTATGAAAGAAAAATTCTGATACAAAGTAAAATCATATCTGCAAGGTGTGTTTTTATAAAAATGTGATAGATGTACGTAACTTACCATCACTGTTGATGCACACAACCTCTTGAACTTGTGTGCCTGGACCACACTCCTTCCCATTATCTGGTTCACAGTCTCCGAGCCTCACTGCTTTCCAGTCATAGCAGGATGGCTCTTCACAGGGAATGGCTTCCAGTAAGTGGGGGCAGTTTCCAGTTCCCCCAGAGCCTCCAGTGGGCTCATTGGTTATGCGCCGCTTCCTCAGTTTGAAGCCTGAGTCATTGGAGAAAAGAAAGTATTTCGTGTCAACAACGTATTTTGAAAACTGAAAGAAAGGCAGAGATAATGTTGGATGAAGGTAGAGGTTAGAAAAGTCACTTGCGTTTTGAATCACTAATGTATGTATCCCCGACTTGTAGCTTAAACTGACCTTGTGAACCATTTATCAAATGAGTAAATGAATGAACACAGAAAGAGTAGTTTGGTTTTAACTTTCTATAGGAAAAAAGTCGTGTACCTCATATGTCTGCATACGGTTTAGGGAGGGAAAGAAGGAAGGGGAGAGACAGAGATAGAGTTAGAGAATACAAAGAATCTTTAAGGAATGAAATCTCAAACTCTTTAGAAATATTCATGGCCAGACGCATGAAAGTGCTATGCTTTCTAATTCTTCAGCACTGTTCTTTGATTGAATTTGGAAAAGGAACCTCTGAGAGGTTGGATGGTTCTAGGACCACAACCAGTGTAGACCATTCAGAGTTCTATTACACGCTTTTTATAATGCCTGGGTAGTGTCTTTCTGAAAATGTAAAACAAAATTAATATATCTGTTTATGCTGAGTGAACATACTGAAAGTATTAGAGCTTGTCATTTGAAACAAAATGGGAAAATAAAATTATAGGATCATTTGAATGCAGCTCACAATGCCCACCATGAAATAAACCACTGCATTTATTCCACTCCTCTTACCTGTACCATCTGTATCATAAAGTAACAAAGTTTTAAAAAATATTTTTACCTTCAAAGCAATAAGGAGCTAAGATTAAGCTGTAAGTCATGGCCTGAATTATTTATGTTTACTTTCTCACTGATTCTTCAGAGGAAATCTTGGTGGCAAATATTATGATGTCCCTTTCATAGGAAACAGAAAATAAGGAGCAGAGTAGAGTTTTCAGTGCAGGTCAGTCCTAATCAGTCCTTGAAGTGCCTCAAATCCTCTCTATCATGTTATCTAAATTATAAGGCAACTTGCCTATGTTCCACTATTTTAATCTTTTGGTACCATCACCAGATTAGGTTTATTCATTTTAGGAAATCTATATTCTTAATCATTCTGTAAAATTCTACCAAAAAATAATAAGAAGGAACACCTAAAGCACTTTTTAAATTCATGATTTGACTTAATCTATGGTTGTTTCAAATATGGTGTGTTACTATTACATACCTTTTTTGCCTTGCTGGTCATTACAATTTTCATAAGTACAAGGTCCCCAAGCTGACCACGGTGAAACTTCACATTCTACTGGACAGGGAATGTGGCACAGCTGTGTAGTATTAGGTACAGGGCCAGTGCATAATTTGGAATCCACTGGTTTTGAGGCTGTTTCAAGAAAAATACAGAACTTTTTTAGGAATTAAACCAAAAGTAAAAGTTGTGGTCAATAATAAAGTTTTTGTGAGTATGGAGAAGAAAACTGTTGCAGATGTACCACCAAGATATTTTCCAATGCTTCTTAGCTACATCCTGAGACTAAAAGGAGGAAGTATGGGGAATGAAAGACACAATATAGTATAGTCAAAGAAAACTGAGCTTTCAAGTTGTTTATCAGCTTTACCACTGATTACCTATGCTATTAACAATATTAAATATAACTTTTCTAGTCAGAAAAATAATCCTTAAGGTGAACTCTAAAATTCGGTGGCTAAATTCTACAAAGTAGAATCTGATTTAGAGGACTGAATATAGTAGGATGGTGTGAAAGATAAGATGGTTAATTTGATTAGCTTGAGAATCACCTAGAGGATTAGTAGAGTCCACTTCTTAGTGTGCTTTGGCAGGTTTCTCAGATGTGTGACCACATCTGTCCCTGGTCCCTTCGTCCCTGATGCTGTTACCCTGTCTACTTTCTGGTCACCATGAACAAGCAGCTTTGCTCCACCACACCCTTTTGACATGATTTTCCTGTCTTGGAGTCAGCCTACCATGGACCGAATCTTCCAAAACCATGAGCGAAATGATCTGTCCTCCTTTAAGTTGAGGTTGTTAAGTACTGTGCCCCAGTGATAAAAAGTAGAGTAATATAGAGGGGCAACATGGCTTTGATATATATGGAAAAATGTCCACTGAGTTGCTCTGGGGAGGAGTGAACACCTGTCCTTGTTGTCTGCAAGTCTAAATGGTACCACATGAACATGAGGGAAGAAAAGCCACTCTATTTCTAGCTCCATGACTCACTCAATGCATTTCAAAAATTCTGTAAAATGTATTATCTACATATGTGACCCAAATGCAAATTGCTAAGGAGATGAATTTATAATTATCTCCATTAGTTTTTAAATTGACCAGTGAACTTGGTAAATGCTTGTCCCTGCTTTTCTTTTCTGTTTTGATGTATGATGTTTGACTCTTTGGAACACACATATATGAGACAGATAATGCCAAGATGTGTGTACATTTCTGCATAAAGGCTGACCAAGAGAGGAGGATGTATAAAGAAAAACAGAGGGCATTTTGCTACAGGTACATCTAGCTAACTCACCAGCTCTATTATAAGAGCTATAGTTACTGCTGTTGCAAAAAAATTTAACAAGTTTGAGCCAAAGACCCACCATACCATCATAAGTGTGTGCAGATCCTGGGGAGAAGATGTGTGGACCAGAATGATGTAGCTGTAGGCTGATCCAAGCCAGAGCCCCACACGAACCCCAGAGGCATGGGCACACCCCCTCAAGCCACAGGCCCACACAGAAAAGAGATGTCCAGGCACATAAGCTTTATCCAGAGGCCTGCCATACCATCCTTAAGTAAGCACACATCCCAGGGAGCAGTTGTGTGGACCAGAGTGGTGTGGCTGCAGGTGAATCCCAGCCAGGGTCCCTCCCCAGTCCCAGAGGCTTTGGCACATCAACCCAAGCCAAAGTCTGGCTCAGAAAAGAGCTGCGCAGGTGCACAAGCTTCAGCTAGAGGCCTGCCATATCATAGCCAAGGGCCCACCTTGAAAAAGAACTATACAGATGCACAAGTAATAGCCAGAGGCTCACCCAGATACCACTGATAAGTTTGTGGAGACCCTAGTCAGAAGTGAACACAGACAGAAGGAACTGATGTACACAGCCTCCAGCCAAAAGCCCTCACAGAAAACTGCTACATAGGGCCCCCATTGAAAGGCACACCTAGATACCATCCCAAGTATGCACAGGTCCAAATCAGAAGACTGCCAGACAACAGGTCATCTCAGGGATCCAAAAGGCCACCACTATGAACCAGGAATTGGTGCATTAGTGAGCAGCAGAGTAAAGGCTCAGTGGTGGCTTGCTGAGAATTGAATACCACTGGGTGAGCAAAAAGTCACGTCAACAAAGGCTCAACAGGCTGCAGCTTTTGAAATGAGAAGACACATAAGTAAGTCTCAAAACCACACTTCCAGATCACCTAAGGCAACTCCAAATGGAAACAAGATGGAAGAATCTAATACTCAAATGAAATAAATAAGGCACACATGTGTAAATACCGAATAGTTTCTCTTGTGTGAATAATCTGCAATAATACAGAAGATCCTAATAAGATTACTGACATTTAGAAATAGGAAGAAAGGAGCTAAAGGTGTAGGGAAGGTGGGATGGGTAGGGGAAGGGTAATAAGGGAAAAGAAAAAAATGTGAGATAATGAAAAGATGGAAATAAAGTGTTTGTAGATGGGGAGGGGAGGAGGGGGTGAAGGGAGGCCAGGGACAAGGGGAAAAAATGAAAACCAAGATTGTCATGTAGAGGTACAAGATCCCAACAATGAATGTAACTGTACTGTATCCCTAAAATGTACCAATAAACTCAATTAAAGCTGAAAAAAAAAAAGGATCTAATACTCAACCACCTGGACTCCCTGAACTGGCAATAAAGCAGGACCTGGAAAAAATGAAATCAGATATAATTTCTCATGGGCAGAGATTGTGCCCATGGTATCAGACATGATTAATAAATCTAGAGCAGACTCAGATAAAAAAAATAGAGGAGCTGAGAAACATGATGGAATCCCAAAATAGGAAACAAATGGAATCCATAAAACAGATGCTAACAGATTTCCAGGAGATTAAAAACTCCACTGAAATTTTATGCATGGAACAAGCTAAGGTGAGGACAGAATTTCAGATATAGAAGATAGGATTGCAATGAAAAACCAGGAAAGGAAAATTTTCTTAAAAATAGTAAAGGACCACAAGAAATCCATCCAGCAACTGCTAGATGATGCAAAGAAGAATAATATAAGACTGATTGGAGTCAATGAAGAAGCAACAAGTGCAGATGACATTAAAAAAAAAAAACAAAAAACTGTTCTCAGAAGTAATGGCAGAAAACTTTCCAAATAGGGGAAAAGAACTTGACATACATATAAGAGAGGCATATAGGACTCCAACTAGCCATGATCAAAAAAATGTACACATAGGCATATAATAGTTAAGATTCCAGAAATCTAACAGAAGTGCAAAATTCTAGAATCTGCTAGAGAAAAGAAATAAATCACATACAAAGGAAAGGCCATCAAAATCACAGCAGACTTCTCAATATAAACTCATAAGGAAAGAACAGCATGGAGTAACATATTTCAAGCCCTAAAGGAAAACCGCCTCCAACCTTGATTGATACACCCTGCAAAACTATCTTTCAAAATTGATGGAGTAATAAGATACTTTCATGACAAAGAGCACCTCACTAACTTCATGAATATGAAACTAGCACTCCAAAAATTTTAAGCAATATCCTATGAAAGACAACATGGATCACAAGCACAGGTAGCCCAGCAGAATGAATCCATCAGGAAAGACAAAAAATTAAATCCGAAGGGGGAGAACCCAACAAAAAGAAAATGTCATGACAAGGATAACTCAATACATATCAGTTATAACCGTCAATGTTAATGGTCTCAATTCACCAATCAAAAGAAAATGAATGGAAGATGAAGCAAGATCCAACAATATGCTACATACAAGACATTCACTTAATTAAAACATAAGCTCATAGACTGAAAGTTCGAGAGTGGAAAACAATACTCCATGTAACAGGAACCCCCAAAGAGCAGGAGTAGCTACCCTCTTTGCAGGTCAGGTGGATTTCAAACCAACACTGATTAAGGGACACAAAGAAGGAGACTACATCTTTATAAAGGGAACAATCCAAGAGGAAAAAGTGACAACCATTAATATACATGCACCAATTACTAGTGTACCCAACTATATAAAACAAAAACGAATGGACATGAAAAATCATATAAGCAATAGTACAATGCTAGTGGGGGACCTCAATACCCCCCTGTCACAAACAGATAAGTAGTCAAAAAATAAACAATGAAATAGGGAGAAATAGGAAGAACCAATATAGTGAAAATGGCAATACTTCCAAAAGTGATATATAGATGCAGTGAGTTCCCAATAGAAACTCGAGCAGCATACTTTACAGAACTTGAAAAAACAATCCAAAAATTCATTTGGAACAAGAAGAGCCATAGAATGGCAAGAGCAATTCTAGGCAATAATGACAAGGTAGAGGGTATCACAAACCACAATGTGTCACTGTGTTACAAAGCTACTATGATTTAAAATAGCATGGTATTAGCAAAGAAACAGACCCAAGGAACAGTGGAACAGATAAGAAGATGCAGAAACAACTCTACCCACGTTAAGCCACCTCATCTTGGACAATGGAGCCCAAAATCCTCACTGAAAGAAAGATAGTTTAATAAATGGCGCTGGAAAAACTGGGTTTTCAACTTGCCAAAGTTTAAAACTAGACCTATAACTCTCACCATGTACTAAAGTAAAATTGAAATGGATTAAAGATTCTAAACACTAAAACAGAAACACTAAGCCATCTGGAAGAGAGGTTAGGTAGAACTCTTGAAGACATTGGCATAGGAAAAGATTTTCTGAACAAAACCTCAGTTGCCCATGAACTAGCACAATCAACAATTGGTATGTCTTCTTATTGAAAAGCTTCTTCCCAGGAAGAGAAATGACCAATAGTGTGAAGAGAGCACACAATGTGGGAAAAATTTTCACCAGCTCTTCCTCAGACAAAGGTCTAACATCTAGAGTACATAAAAAACTTAAAAAAAAATCAGACCTCCCAAATTTAAACACCCAGACTAAAAAGGGCATGTGAAATGAACAGACATTTCTCAGACAAAGAAGAAAAAACAGAAAATAAACATATGAAAAACTGTTCAATGTTTACTGGTTATTCATTAGATGCAAATGAAAGCAACACTGAGATTCCATTTCATCCCAGAAAGAATGGCTGCTATAATGACATTGATGAATGAGAAATGCTGGCAGGGTCGGGGGAAAGAGGAGCCCTGCTCCATTGCTGGCAGGAGTGCAGACTGGTGCA